AATGGACGAAGATCTTCCTCTGTGTCTGCAATTCTCTCTTTATACTGACTTCGCAATAATAATAAGATAAAACTTTAAAAAAAAAATTTTTTTTTTAAGTAGAAAAATCTAAGAGAAAGTCTGGTCTTGAAATTGTCGGACAGCCTTGCATCATCCAGAGCAAAATAAATGCCGCACTCGGACCCAACGCTACAACAAAGACAGTGGAGGACCTGCAGCCCAGAGAGGAGGGAGCTGATGGAGGAGGGGCCAGCTGCGGGGAAGGAACCTCCTCCATTACCAGGCTAGAGACGCCCTCGCCCACAAGTAAGCCCTCATTTCCCCATTCCCGCCGCGGGAACACTGAGGCCTCAGGGAGCAGAGTCCTGAGGCAGAGCCTTGAAAAGGAAAAGGCAGCCAGACCCTGTGGTTCACAAGAGCAGGAGAGGCTGGAAGATCGCGCCTCCTGATTGGAGCAGACAGAATCAGACACGCTCGGCGCCTGCTGATTGGCTCGGCCGGGTCAGGCGCTGTTGGCATCTGTGAATGTCAATAGCGCCCGGGGCCGGGTCGCTGACCGGCAGTAACCCCGGTGGGAGGGCGGGGCGCGCAGCCATGCTCTGGTGCCTGTTGGCCACCAGCCAGGCCCAGCCAGGCCCAGCCAGGTCTGCCTGCGCTCAGCAGAGGGGGCTGGGCGAGAGGAGGGTGGGATGTGTGTCAGTGTTGTTGAACTGGAGCCGAGCTTGGCATGCCCACCGCCAGGGCAGGGCTGATGCGGGCTGGCAGCTTCTGCTTGGAGCCGCTTGGGCTGTGCCTGTTTGGGAGAGTTTAATGTGGTGTGCGTGAGGACAGAGGTGTTGGAGGTGGCTGGTGGCATGGTGTTGTGGTCAGGTGGGTGGCTTAGTGGCTGTGCCCACGTGACCACGGTTAGGGGGCACATGACGTGGCCTGCTGCAGTGCCCATTGCTCCAGGGTGGCAAAAGCGAGAGTGGACACTTGGGCGTGGGGAGAGTGTTTCTAGCAGAGATGCCACTCTGGCCACGCTGTCCCCCAGGGCAAGGGCAGTCTGGGCACTGATGTTCTGGGAAGTAGGGAGGAGAGAGGACTGCTGTGTCCACAGGAAGGGCATGGGGGGAGCTGGTGTGTTATGAGCCCCTGTGGACAGCAGTTGGGTGTCTCCAGACAGCAGTCACACCCAGCAGCCCTGTATGCCAGTCCCTCCTGTCTGGGAGATGCCCCAGTGAGTTGCACAGGTCCCCCAGTGTTTGTATGGAGGTGTTGACAGCAGCAACAAGATGGGGACAACTCAGCTGGCCATGGGTGTCTGAACTGAGAAGCCAGCAATGGGATCAGAGCACAGTTTAGCACTCATTGGCAGCACTGGTTCCTGCCACGGCACAGCAGCTTTATTCTAAGAAAACACAGTGCAGCTAGGAAGGTTGTCCCTTTGATTGTAGTCCTAAGAAATATCCCGACTAGGTACATTCATGGCAATGGAAAGAAGCTGGTCTTGTCCAGTGTCAAGTAGTAAGGGGAAGATGAGGAATCCCTGTTGATTAGGTTAAGTGAATTCTCTTCAGATGATAACAATATATTGGATGAAATAATGACTGCACAATATAGTGAATGTCATGAATGACAAGGAATCTAAATGTAGTGTATGTTTGTGTATGAAGCAATAAACCCACTAAAAGATGATTCTCTGCTTCCAAAATTTTCCAAGGCATGTCAGTTGAGCCATAGTTCATTCTGGGACCTCCATGGCCTTTATGTTCTCTTTCCTTGTAACTCATTTCCTCTCTTTGTTCACCAAGGTTTCTAAAGCCTTGCCTGGCCCCAGCTGCTCCCTTCTCTCTGTGGGAAATAGTCTGAGGGAGAGGCCCTTTCAGCCACTCTGAGAAGGCCCTGGCCTGGGCAGAGAAGCCGTGTGAGTCAGCCTCCACAGAGCACACTGAGCCCTTGTGAGCTTTTGGTGGCCTGGGTGTGGCAGGCGGGGCAGACTCCATGGGAGAGGGGACCTGTGTCCCCAGAGGGCGAGGCTTGTGCTTCCAGCAGTCCCATGGAATTCCTTGGAGCCTATGATTAGGGCTTGTGGCATTTGCCCCACAGTTAATGAGTAAGAGCCATTTTACTGGAGGCCTAAAATGTTAAGTGCAAGTCAGCCCAAGGACTCCCACTCTGTGTGACATTTTACAGAGCCACACAGGCAGAATCTGAAGCGGGATGTGAGATTTTTCCAGCTCTGCATTTCTGACTTCATTTCTTTCTTTTATAAAATTCATTTTTAGTGGAAAGTCAAATATAGAGAGAAGAGGAGAGACAGAGAGGAACATCTTTTATCTGCTGACTCACTCCCCAAATGCCCACATGGCCAAAGCTGAGCCTATCTGAAGCCAGGAGCCAGAGCCTTCTTCCATGTCTCCCACATGGGTGCAGGGTCCCAAGGTTGGGCCCATCCTTGGCTGCTTTCTCAGGCCACAAGCAGGGAGCTGAATGGGGAGAGGGGCTGCTGGGATTAAATCCCGTGTCCATATAGGATCCTGGCACTTTCTAGGTGAGAACTTTAACCGTTAGTCCACCATGCCGGTCCCTGGACTCTTCATTTCTTAGGAGGAGGATGCCCTGGTGAATTGCAAGGCTGCAGGAAGGTGGACAGTGTGGGACAAGTGAGAGAAGAGGTCCAGAATGCTTCGAAACCAGTGGTTGATGATGAGGATGGGTTCCCCGTGGGAGTGAGTGGGTCTTCTTGACAGAGGAAGTGTGTGCAGTTCGTGTGTGAGGAAAGCTCTCTGCCATTGTCACCCAAGAGGGCCACAGTGCAGGCTTTGCCTCTGAGTGTCACTGAATATCCCTGGGCATACACTGGATGTGAGAAATGTAAGAGTAACTCGTTTGACATCTTCTCAACACCCAGCAGTCAGGTGTTAGATCAGAGCTCTGGACCCAGATCACAGCACATGGCTGCTCCTTCCCAGTATTCATCTTGACAGAACCCAGGCACCTCAGCAAAAAATATGGGCAGAAAGACTATTGCCCCAGGCCTGCTGCTCCACTTCTGATCCAACCCATGCTGTTTGTCTTGGAAAGCAATGGAGGATGGCCCAAAATCTTGGGACCCTGCACCTATGTGGGAGACATGGAAAAAGCTCCTAGCTCCTGGTTTCAGATGAGTCAGCTCTGGCTTTGTAAGCACTGGGCAAGTATACCAGCAGATGAAAGATCATTTTGTCACTCCTATTAAATCTGCCTTTGCAAAGCCAGGAGGCAGGAGCTTCTTCCTGCACTTGCATGCGTGTGCAGGGTCCTAAGGACTTGTGCCAGCCTCCAGTACTTTCCCAAGTCTTAAATAGGGAGCTGGATGAGTAGTTAAGTATCTGGGAGAAGAACTGGTGCCCATATGGAATCCTGGAGCTTGCAAAGTGAGGGTTTAGCTATTAAATCATTGTGCTAGGTCCAAAAATAAATAAATCTTAAGCAAATAATAATCAGGACCATATGATCTGCATTGTTTTGGAGTTTTGGCTTTAAATCCCATCAAAGTTCCAGCACATAGCAGTTCTCATAGTTTTTCATGACTGAATATTATTTTGTTGCCTGAACTTACCACATTTATGTTGTTTATACTTTTTCACTATTTTATCATGCATCTGTGAATATTCATGTGTGTAGAAGGACATTGTGACCCTAGAAGGTAGTGAGCACAGGATTACAATTGATTGGATAACGTTTGGATACCTTTTGTATAACTGATTGGCTGTCAGTTGTATGAAAACAACTGAGTATGTACCATTCGCATAGCTAAATGAATATAATTTGTATAAGAACAGCTGAGTGGATAGCACGTGAATGAGAACACTTGGTGAGATATACAAGATTTCCAAACAAGAACAAATGATGGGTTCAGCTGATAAGCTCAATACCTCCTCCCTTATCCCATATGACCCTCAGGTCTATATAAAGTCTGATGCCACTAATAAACTCTGGCTTTCAACCGTCAATCAGAGTCAGTGTTGTTATCGGCTCTGTGCACCAAATCCATCACTGCAGAACAGCAAATTTCTCTATGATAAATATTCCCAGTTCTCTTGGATATGAAATTAGAAGGTGAATTGCTGAGTTTCCTATAACCTCTATGTTAAAAAAAAAAATGTTTATTTTCATTTGCTTAAAAGGTAGAGTGACAGAGTATTCTTCACCCACTGGTTCACTACTCAAATGCCCACAAACAGAAGAGTTGTGTGAAGCTGAAGCCTGGAGCCCAAAGTTCCATCTAACCCTTCCATGTGGGTAGCCGAAGTGCAAGCACTTGAATCATCATCCAACGCCTCCCAGTTTCACTAGTTGGATGCTGGATTAGAAGCAGAGGTGATATCAGTACTCTGTGGAATGTGAGTGTCCCAAGCAGGGGGCTTAACCTGTGAAGCACTAGCTCACTCTGCCCTAAGATTAAATCTAGATTCCTAACAGGACCTCAACATCTTTACATCATCCTCTCCCAAACATGTGACATGACCCTCTATTCTACATCTCATCCTTACAGGACAACTCAGGACTGTTCCCTCCTGAATTCAACTAACATCTGAATTCAACTAACATCTCTCCCTTTTCTAACATTTCAGACAGCAATGAGCTGGGCTGCCCAGTGGGAGTTGCAAGGTCACCAATAGCTTTCCCAGGATTGGGTTTCCTTTTGATCTCTTCCTCTCCCAGAATCCTCTTGGAACTTTTGTTTCCTCTTGGGTCTGTGAGACCATGTGATGACTGATGACCAGCCTGGTTGCTGGCAGGCTGAGATGCAGGAGGTGTTAGCGTTTGACCTAATGGCAGCCAGCTCTGGTTTGCAATAGCCTGGAGTTTAACCTAAAGTAACCTTTCTGAAGGGTGGGACAGATTCCTGGGTGTGAGTCAACCTGCAGCTTCCACTTCTGTTTTACTCTTAAAGGTGCAGGATATATATAAATAGGGTGATGGGCCATAGAAGCTGGTCCCGGGAGACTGAATCACAGCCAGACACAGTGCAATCAGAATCATTTCCCTTTTTATTATGAATCAACACAGTGTCAGATCAGTACAACTAGCTTCAGAGTTGACAGGAATAGAAACTTTTGTAAAATTATCAAGTGACAAATAACTACTATCCCAGACAAAGAGGGAAAATTGACCCAAGCCAGGAAGAGGTGTCCTGTGCTTGTTTTTGTGGCACTGAAGATGCGTCCTCATGTATTCTCTGAATAGTTATCCAGCACTTACCCATCTAACAGATTAAGTCAGCCTTGAGAGAGAGACTAAACAGAGTACCCAGGACATAAGAACATACAAGTCCACAGTGGGTACTGCTGCCATAGAAATCCTCAGGACTTGAGAATTCTTCTACTGAAGGATCCCAAAATGCTTTATAAAAAGTTATTAGTCATGCATCCAACCTTTCCTTTTGGTGTGAGTCAGTGTTATGGTGTTTATTTCACTAGGACAATGAGGCACATTATAATGGAATGCCTAGGGTCACAAAGCAAGTCAGTGGCAAAGTGGTAAGAAAGGCCTGGCCTTACCTGCCAGCATAACCTAGCCACCTTGCTTTCCTACCTTTCCTGCTGACCCATTTGAGGTATGCTTACAGAGAACTCACTGAGCATCCTAGCAAGCCAAGAAACTTCTTTTAAAATGTTACAGGCATCATTTATTTTAAAGACAAATTGCAAATTGAATACATTCAGATTATTTTCACTGTCCATCAAATGTGGGCACTGAACCAAAGCATCCCTCAGAAAAAATTTCCAAAGTGAAGCTCAACAAATCCTGAAAGCGATTAGCCTGATCCTTCCTCAGTGGGTTCCTTTTTTTACCTGCCCTTGCTGTGGACACACAGGTGCAAGAGGGCTCCACTGAGGGAGTGAGGGCCAGCTTCATGCTGCATGGATTAGCAAAGATGTAAGGCACTAGATAAGGTGTCAATACAGTCACAGCACAGAACTGTTAGAAAAACTCTCCTGCTGATTACATCTGAGTTACTCATTAATGTGGCAACCCAACTGGGGCTTAAAGGCTTGAAAATATGGCTCCTTACTCAGCAGTCACACCTGGAGGCCCGCAAGCTGAGGTGTCCCTGCAGCCCTGTAGAGATTCACACCATGAATCAAATCCATGAAACAGGATTAGAAGGGAAAACTGATTACATTGTTCATACGATGTAAAACAGGCTGCTGATGACCTGTGTGATGAAAACTGCCCTACAGACATTTCCAGAGGATGGACGTGCAAGTTGGCAAATGGCCAACAACTGTGACGTTCGATCAGATTCCTTTCTACTGAACTGAAAGGCTCCAAAGACAAGGATGCCTTTCATCCACTTTGATCCTGTGGCTTCTATTCAATTAACACATGTAACCCCCTTCTACCACGGGGGTCACAGTGACAAGTGTGTGGCATTGGACACTTCCAGTCATAACAGAGCAAAGCCTGGTTTGCGCACTGATGGCTAAGGAACAGGGGACAGGAGTCCAAGAATCTCAAAACACTGATGTTCTGCTTTCCAGATTCTCCTATGCTATTGGCTGTCCATGGCTGGGGGTGGAGGGGCAGTGATGCTGGCTATTTGTTGAACAGATAATCTGTTCAGCAAGGTGCATGGTGTCTTAGGTGTGTCTCAAGCTAAAGCTGTGCAGTACTCACTGCCTCAGGATTAGGGACTCATTTCAAAGTGAGGCACTTGGGAACTGGGTCTTGCTTCTTGTGCTTACTAGCAAGGACTAGGCATCCTCCTTCTTATACAAGCACTGCTCAATCAGCTGGGAGCCCTGATGCTCAGAGGTGCCAGCTGACTGAGCAAGCAGGGTACACTGAGCATGCTCTGTGCTCTGACCCCGACACATATCTTCCTTGGCTCAATGGCGTAACAGGAGTATATGGCTTAAGTATGTGTTATGTGAGAGGGCCTTAGGAGCCAGGGAGGGTTCTAGGAAGCTGTGCCAGCCATGTCTGGAGGCATCAGTGTGACCGAGGGGCACGGGAATGTGGAGCAGCTCTCCTTGTGGAAGGGAAGCAGAGGTCAGGGGCCCCTGAGCATTGTCTGCAGGAGGAGCTGCCTGGACAGCAGGTTGTCACTGTCTCTGAACACATGCATGGAGGCTGCCTTGCCAGAGCCAGAGTCAACATGAGGGAAGGGCCAAGATCAAAACAAGACAGGACAGAGCCAGAAGTGAAGAACATGTGTGGCTAACAGAGTCCTACCTTGCTTTCCAGGCACTCCTATACTCTAGGCTAGTTCTTAACAGCAAAATATCACTCAAGGCAAGAGGTCAACTGTCAGAGAACTAATACATGAACTTGACATTGAACAGGTTTCATTAGGACACTCAATTACTTAGAAATATGAATCCATGACAATGTAATGTCTGAATCCTTTCTTTAGAAAGTTACCACTTACAAGCTACCTATAGATCCTGCCCCTCAACCTCTCCATTCTCTGCCAGCCAATAAAGTGGGGGTTGGAGGTAGAAGGACCAGGCAAATCAGCTCATTTCCCCCATCCTTGAAGCTTCCATAAATATTCCTTACTCAAAGGAAAACACTTTTGGGAAAATATTTCCGGGTTCCAAGTAAAGGACTTAGGCTTACCTATTTTTGCTTGACCAAACTGTACAATGCTGCTGCCTTAACCTCTGTCCAGAGCCTGCTAAGGCATTGAGATTTGCTGTTGTGTGTTGCCTGTCCAAGCTCCAGGCCAGTCCTCCTCACAGTCAGGAGAGAAAGGAAGCGTTCCATGTGGAGGGGCTGCACGTCCTGGCTAGGCAGGCAGCTGTGTGCCTCCTCACAGCGAGACCATTTTCTGCTCAAATCCCACCTCAACCCCTCCCTCACTTACCAGTCATGCCTGGCAGCGAGCCTCTCTCCTGACAGTTGACCTGCACTCACTGTCCCTCTGGCTCAAGCCACCTATGTTAAAGCTGGACAGCACAAGAAAAATGTTACCCAGGGTTTAGAAGTCAAGAGACAATTCGAGTTGAGAAAGGAAGTTGATAGGAACAAAGCAAGGAGGAGAATGGGAATAGAATAGATAAGCAGGATTTATCAGCTTAGCATCGTATAGTTGTTGGTTATCAATAATTTTTTAAGAATGCTAAAATTTATTCTGATTAAAAAATTGACATAAAGTTTTATGTATTTCTCATGTACAACATGATATTTTGAAATATATATGTCTATACATATATATAAATGATTATTGTTTGGCTAATTAACATGTGGATTACCTAAATAAGTTATCAAAACCTTTGCATTTTAAAAAGATATTGTACTGGAATGGGTTAGGGTTGTCATCTTTAGTGTCCTGGGAGCATTATTCAGTAGTTAATAAACAGAACAGTGAACCTCTGCTTGGCTGGCTTTTGGAAAAGAAGATGATAACTCAAAACTCAGCCACTCTTGTGACTTCCATCTCCAGTCCTCTTAATCCTGGCCAAGACTGCAGCCTTGGATACTTTCTTCCGATCATAAGCCAGGCCCAGGGCAGCCATGCAGTCGATGAAGAATGTGGTGAAGTTGAGGTGCCAGCGGTACTCGCTGGTGGAGTAGTCATAGGGAAAGGAGTGGTGGTAGTTGTGGAAGCCCTCACCTGCAAGGAAAGCAAAGAGAGCCGTCATGGAGCTTTGCTGATTGCCATCTTCCTTTCATTGAGCACCAGCTTCCTAGCAGAGTACCTGAACCCAGGAGAAATCAGCTGTTGTGGAGTGGCGGGATGGAGGGAGGGATGGAACCAATCTGTTGTACTCTACTGCACACAGATCACGCCTGGAGGACATTAAGAAATGATTGATGAGGCCCCTGTCACACCTGCTTGCTTTTCTCAGGGTATGCATGAGTTGAGTAGAAAAGGTCTGAGTGTTGAGAATGTAGTATAGACTGAAGACTCCCAGAGTTTCAGGAAACATGACCTAAAACCCTAAAGGTTCTGTGTGTATGTGCATGCATGCACACTGGGGTGAAAGGGGAGAGCCCAGAATGAAGAATTTGGACTGTGTTGCTTACACAGTGAGCAAAGGAGCATGCTCTCCGCACCACAACAGCACCACCATGAGGGTGGGATGCTCCAGTGGAATAGGAAGAGTTGCCCAACAGTCAGAGGAATATGAGTCCAGCCCAGGGACTGCAAATTCCTCAGTCTCTGATGGTCCAGAGCAGGACTCTTTGCTTTTTTATTGTCTGAGCTTTGACCCTGGGCTGGGGGTGATGGTGATAAGGAGATTCTTTGAGGAAAGAAGAAACAAATTGCTTAAATATTCCCTCTAACCTCAGAGATGCTGAGAAGTCATGGAATAAACATTTCACATGGATCGCCAGAGAGAAATAGAACATTCTGTACTGAGAATAACTCTGCAGCAGTCAAAGGGAGGTTGCCAACTCTTGCCTGGACCCCTCTTTTCTAGCTGCAAGCAGCACTGACACACTGACCCTTGTCAGGTCAGGGTGAAGGGATGCTGACAAGAGGCTGTTGGGCCTTCTGTGGGAAACCTACTCCAGATAGGGAAGGGATGACACTAGCAACAAGCAAGGCCATGTGTCCTTCAGAGAGAGTGATCCCAGGTAGCTCATCTCCAGGTGGGTGCCTCCTCTGTGAGGCCTGATCTCCCACAGTGTGAGCTGAGAAGGAGGTGGGTAAGTCCAAGGTTCAGGTGCTGATAGAGGGCTGCTGAGCTCTCAAATGAGTTACAGTGATTCTCTGGGTGAGCACCTGCGTGGCCCACAGACACCAGCCTTAACATAGAGTCAGTCCCCGCTGTGCAGAGAAAACTGAGACTGGTATAAGGGAATGTCAGTGGGTCCAGTTAGCACAAAGGCCACAGTGGGTTAGACGAGGATGTCAGCTATTGTAGAGATGGGATTAACATGTAGGGGAAGTGTGTCAAGAAGCAAAATGGAAAAGCAGAAAACAGGATGAGGGAGGAACAGAGGGGTGGGAAAACGAATAGGAGAGCAGAAATATGGAGAAATGAACGATAAACAGATAGCTGGGGGGAAGCTCACTCTGGGCTTATTGAACACTTAGGTCTTCCATATAAAATACACCTCAGTGGAAGAGGCCTTCCCTGTAACAGCATGGGTGGTTCACTTCAAACATGGGTCAAAGTGAGACCACCCAATGGTAGGTGTTTGAAATAAAATGAGAAATGCACAAAAATCGGATGACCAACAGCAACGAGCACTGATGGAGGAGACCATTGGTTCTGTTTTGAGAAAACTAGTTTGAGACATTAGTCCAAGCCTATACACAACAGAGTGGGGAAAAATGGAGATGGAGACAACCGGTAGAGAACTCTGTTGCTTGCATCTCTAGTAATCGAGATTGGAGCTATAGGGAGAAATACATTCAGGGGCAGGCAAAATTAGATCAGGAAGCAAGAATCTAACATCAAACTAACTACCTTTGTGAGAAATTTCCTAAGCCGTGTTGTGGGAAATAATATGACAGAGTAGTAAACGAAAGAAAAGACCTTTCAAAAGGGACAAGGGTATAGGGGCTGATGGGAAAGAAGCACCAAGAGTTGGTCTGATGTTCTTCATATTGGAATCACTAAGCAATAATGTATGGCTCCCACCTGAAGTATGATGCAGGGAGGTAAAATATACACTCAATGTGACAGTTCAACAAAATCCCAAACATTTCCACATTTTATACAGCATTTTTACATAGACAATGCCTGTCTAACAGGTCACTGTGATTACCCCATTGTCTTATACTTTGCCTGTTCTTTTCCCTTGGCCATGCAAGAGTGAAGTCCAGGAGAAAGGACAGCAGGAAAAAAAAAAAAAAAAAGAGAAGAAAAGAAAATCAAAACACCTAGCATTTAGAAACGATTTGGAAATCCAGAATCATAGTGAAATTTTCTTAATCTGTCATTTCACACAATACTTATTGCCTATGCATAAGGGTTTTCCAATGTTGTACCCTTCTTTCCTGATGGGGAAAAACGAGATAAAAATGACCACAAGGCAGATTAAGCTGTGATTGCTGGTTCCTAGCCTATACACTTATCAGTATACTACAGCACAGTCTTGCTATGGACTGATGACTTACCCACAGCTCCCAGAGAAACCAGGATATTCTCTCGGGATTGAATGTTCTTGTCATATGGGCGATATCCATACATGTGAGCAGCACTGTTCACCAGCCAGGTGGCATTGAGCACTAAAGCATAACGCAGGAAAGTGGCCACATACAAGCTGTGTCGAAAAGTTTCACCCCAGAAGTACCAGGGCACAAACGTGGGCAGGATGAAGCACATCAGCAGGACAGCAGGTTTGTAGTACCTGTGTAGAGAGATCGCAGGCTGAGCTGGGCCCTGGGATCAAGACCTGCCCCTTACCGTCCCTCTCACAGGGCTGGGCTGTCTCTTTCTTCCTCCTTGTGAGCACATAGGTGGGATCAGTTGAGCATGCCAAGACTGGCCCTCTCTGTGCAGATGGGGTGAAGAGGAGGCTGAGGGACTTCTCTAGCCTCCCAGTATGGGAACCAGCCCATCATGGCTAGGATGCTGGGCCCCTAGCTCTTTCCATTATGCACGAAGCCCTGGTGGTGAAGTGATAGGTAAGGTCCCTGCCCCTGGAGCTGCAGAGTCCTGCTCTCTGGGCCCATGTCTCTCTGCCTTTGGGCTCCCTCCTCTTCCCCATCGCATTTTGGGCACAAAATCCACAGGTAGTGTTCTGCCTCCATTTTCTGTGATGCCCCTGCCTGTTATTCTCTTCCCTTGAAAGAGCACTGAATAGCCTTCGTCACATATGAGGCCTGTCCCTCTCTTTATTCTCCCAGGGGACAGGCCATTGACAGACTGCAGGAGGGATCCCCTTCATCCTCACTGTGGATCACTGATGTTTCCTGTGAGTCCATCCTTCCTGTTCCTGCCCCTGCTTCCCCAGGGTGGGTTCCCTGGCCCCCTAACTTCTGTCCCTGCCTCTCCTCTCTGGCCCATGTTCTGAGAGCTGCCCTTCTACAGGACACTTCATACTGCCATCCTGTGCTTACCCAGGAGTGCCTTCCTGCTGTGCCCAAATCGCACCCCATGTCTACCTTCCTGACCCGATCAGGACACAGGCTCTCTCCAGTCTATTTCCTGTCCCACCCTGTCCTCCAGGCAGAAGCATTTGGGGTGGAAAACTCTGGGTGTTGTGGCTCATCTGCGCTTTCTGTTTGCGCTGTTCCTGCCCATGTGTCCTAGTGAACATTCCTGTCCCCTTGTGGAATTTCTGCAATTCTCTTCATAAGCCCTTTCCTGGAGTCCCCACCATGTAGGCTATCTCACTGTCATGATTCTTCAGGTACTTGGATTATCCTGCACTGTCCCGTAAGCTACTAACTTCATGAAAGTAAAAAGTGCTATACTCATTTAAGTAATCACGTGTTGTGCTTGGTTGATTTAATTAAGGCAGCTCAGAGAAGGAGGACCAAAGCCTTGGTGCAGGGCTGTGGGCCTGAGGTTTGCAATGATGGTTTTGCATCTGCAAACACAGTCAGTTATTCAACATGAGCTTACTAAGGCAATGGAGTAAAAGCAGAGTCCCTCTGCCACAGGTGCAGGATCACCCTAGCTGTACAGTTCCTCACTCACCTTCTCTGGAACATCACCAGTTTCTCAGCTTTGAGGTCAGACAGGTCCAGCAGCCCACCCTTCTCCTTGACGGCCGGGTGTTTGCGCACCAGCAGCCAGCCCACGTGAGAGAAGAAGAAGCCGCGTCTGGAGTTATGGGGATCAGCATCAGTTTCTGAGAACTTGTGGTGGGCGCGGTGGTCTCGGGCCCATTCAAACACATCATTCTGTAGGGACAGAGAATGGAGGCAGCTGAGGAGAGACGTCCTCTGAGGAGAACCCCGAGTCTCGGGCATCCTCTCAACCCTGGGGCATCCTGGAGGTACTGCCCCTCTGCCACACACTGCCACTGAGGCTCTGTGCCCTCCAGAGGCTCTGGGACAGTCCCTGCCACCTCCTGGGGGTCACCTGATGGGTGGGGAAGGCCCCAGAGCACAGGCAGCTTCATCAGGAGTGAGCACCGCACTTCCTCAAACAGAGGAGATTGGGAAATGTCTTCATGGTCTGCCTGATCCCTGGACAAGAAGAATGTGAGGCAGGCCATGGAGTGTTAGGGTCCTGGTTGGGGAGCTCCATTCTAATGGCAAAAGATGGCTCAAATTGCCTGGGTATCCTTCCCATCCCTTAATGAAGGTACCAATGGCTAACGCAGGACACAATGATTAAAATGTTGCTAGAGAGGACTGTGTGTGGATTGATGCCTAGCTTCAAGTCTAAAGACAACTGTTGATTGCAGGTTTCTGCTAAGGCTCACCCTGCAAGGCTACAGGATGACACCTATGGTCTTGGGATTCCTGTGGCCCATGTGGGGAAACTGAATGGGGCCCATCCCACTGCTGCTGCTGTAGGCACTTGGGGAGTGAACCAGTGAACACATCTCTTGGAATCTATCTCCATCCCTCTTTCAAACAAAATAATTTAAAAATATTAATGTAATAGTATATTCATATATATTCCTTCCTCTTTCTTGATGGGACCTATCAAGGTATGCGTTACTATGTGGAGATGATTAAGTAAATGTGTCAAGTAGCATGGACAGTGCCATGAGCAACAGGACTAAGTTGATTCCCTTTCTTCTGTCCCCAAGCTAAGCCCCACACCACTGCTGTCCTTTGCCCCTCACCACATCCTACTGACTTTCAGAGTCTCTCTTCTATATTCTTTTCATTCCATCTCTTTTTAGCTGAGAATCTTCAATTCCTGACTTCAAGGCAGCTCAGGACCACAGTGCTTGTCTATCATTCTGTCAGTGACTGTGTTTCAATGGGGGATCATAGCAGCTACATTGCAAGAGTCGTGGATTTAATGAGCTAACCTGTGTCTGCAAATGCTTAGATGAGCACTAGGTATGTAGTCCTTGCTATAAAGCTGTTGTCTATTGCAAAACCTCAGAGTGCAGCATTCTGGGAAAACTAATTTCACTGCTGTGTTATCCTCGGATGTTCCAGTTATACTGTGCATTGTCTACTATCTGCCCAGGAAACCAAGGTTAGTTACTGCCTTGTGGCTCCTGTGGACAGAGGGGGCACCACCGCCAGACAGAATAATGTGGGGACTTTAGGATCAAACCAGCCCTATCTGTGAAGAGTATGCCCTACTAAGCTCCCCTTCCCATTCCAGGGACTCAGAGCGTCCACCTGCTTTGCAGACTTCACAGCTGAGCCTGTACTTGCAGTGACATAGAGAAGAGGAGAGTGCCACGGCTGTCAGACTGGCTCCTCTGTAGGCGCCAATCCCCTCTGTTCTGCTCCCAAACCATCTCTAGGTTCAGTGGAGAAACAAGAGCTGAGCCCTGCCAGTTCCTTACCTGGAAGGCCATGGTGTTGGCAACGATCAGGAAGAGTCTCAGGGGCAGCCGGGCTTTGTAAGTCCTGTGGCTCCACAGACGGTGTGCTCCTGCTGTGATGCCCAGGGCACTGACTAAGTAATAGAATATCCCTGCCAGGAAAAGACAGTGGGTGTTAGGGATGGAAAGACAGTAAAAGTTAAGGAAGCTGTCCCGATGCCAGAATCTTGTCTTGTCTTGTCTTAGGCTTCAGGTGAGGGTCTGCTTGCTTCCAATCTGGAACCCCAAGAGCTATTGGACATAAGCGCCAACTGGAAAGTGGGTAGTTGGGTGTACCCATCACTTTCAGTTTTCAGCAGCCTAGGAGGCAGGGGCTGAGCCTTATTGGAAACTGTGAACCATAACGCCTGGTGGCTAAATCCTTGCCTTGCATACCCTAGAATCCCATATGGGCACTGGTTCAGGTCCCAGCTGCTCCACTTGCCATCCAGCTCCCTGCTTGTGGCCTAGGAAAGCAATCAAGGATAGCCCAATGCCTTGGGACTCTGAACTCATGTGGGAGACCTAGAAGAAGCTCTTGGCTCCAGGCTTTGGATTAGCTCAACTCTGGCCATTGCGGCCACTTGGGAAGCAAACCAATAGATGGAAAATCTTTTTCTCTGTATATGTGCCTTTCCAATAAAAACAAATAAATCTTTAAAAAAAAAAAGTGCCTGGGGAACTGGTTATAGTTAAGAGACACCGCATAAGCAGCACGTGGTAACTGTCCTGTGTGCCTGTTGGAGCCATAGACAGGAGTTTCCTAACAGCCTCCTCCTCTCCCACTCCACCTCCTCCACCCTATTCTCTCCCTCCCATAGGACCCCCTGGAGAGCCATACAGTCTGAGTGTCCCAGGGAAAGTTCTTGCCACATTCCTGCCAAGCTGGACCTTAGGCCCTAGGGGACTCGCTGATGTTAAGCCACGTGGTGATAAATGGCCTCTTCCCAGGACCAGAACCTGCCTGTCTCTGTACCTGCATAAACAACTGCTCAGTGAGAGCCTTGCAAGCACCCAAGACAAAGCAAACAGCCCTGTGGCAAGAGCGCAGGGGCACTGTGCTGGGAAGCAAGGACCACTTCACGCTGGCAAGCTGACAGGGAAAGCACCTAATACCCCAGACTAGCACGGGAACTGGGAAAAGAGCCCAGGCACTGTGGTGCCTCTGTCTCCAAGACAAAGATTGTTCATGTCCATACTGGTGATTGAGCAACACCTCATAACTGTGGCCTGAAGCAAGAGTTTTTCCCTGGGGCCCTCAGGGCTGCCACGGCAGTCTATTCTGTTCTTTCCCTCGGGGCTGCTCTGTGATGTTCCAAAGAGAACTGGGTAGAAGCTTCTGAATGTAGGTCAGTCAAGAGAACTGCTGCAATGACACCCACATAACTTGAAAAATATGACCTACCTAGTGGTAAAAAAAAAAAAAAAAGTGTTGCCACCCCAAGACAAATGGAAAGACATCCTGAGGAAGGGCCTATTTTCAATAGTCTTTGACTGTGGCACTTGCATTGTCTTCCATCTAGAGGCTCAAAGACCTCCAACACAATATCACTGTGCAAGTGCCGGGATCCCATATGACTGCCAGTTTGTGTTCCAGCCGCTCCACTTCCCATGCAGCTCCTGCTTATGGCCTGGGAAAGCAGTAGAGGACAGCCCAAAGCCTTGGGACCCTGCACCCATGTGGGAGACATGGAAGAAGCTCCTGGCTTCAGAATGGCTCAACTCCAGCCATTGCAGCCACATGGGGAGAGAACTGACAGATGGAGATCTTTCTCTCTGTCTCTCCTTCATCTGTAAATCTGCCTTTCCAATAAAGATAAATAAATCTAAAAAAAAAAAAAGGCTCACAGAAGCTCTCTCACTTGTTCTTACAGTTTTAGGAAGATCCATGAGGTCCCATAAGATCTCCCTGCCTGTCCATAGAACCATCCAGCAGGATGAGCTTCATGCAAAAGTGCCCCACCAGAAACTACTCTAGGAAACCTCAAGTTAATTCAGGGGATGAGGTTCCTAGTTCAGGGCCCCTCATGCTGGGTCGGTAGACGTTCCTGAGGCCCCTTCCAGACTGAGGTTTCTGGGGGCAGACGTGAAACTGCATCGAGAGCACATGTGTGTCCTGAGGGCAGGGGCGGCATCCCTGACCAGATGAGCCAAACAAGGTCAAGCAAGAACTGGAAACTGGCTCCTTCTCACCCCAGCCTCCAGGCCAAGGCTGCACGGGGCTTCTTTTCAGACCCTGCCAGGCTATTCCTGATGAAATTTGGGAGACGGCCACAGAGGAGTAGGGAAAAAGGTTGAAGCCAGGAGCTTGGCACTTCACAGCATCAGCAGAAGCCTGGGAAGGGCTGCATGGGAGATGCCACATGAAGCATGTACTTTTTATCAGCTGCAGAACAGATGACAAGCTGTGCAGTACCCTGGAGACATGCATGAGCAACAGAGCACCACATCTGTGTACTATGTACTGGTGTATATAGGAACCTTCTCCATCCTTATCTATACCAAAGGAGTGTGGCCTGGCCAAGGAAGAGGACTCAGAATTCCCTGGATAGTCACCTTTGCCTTCCTGCTTCCAGCAAGCCCTCTCCCTCAACAGAGGCCCCCTGCTCGATCCCGAGTGGGCCCATTGTCCACCATAAAGCCGTGGGTGTGTGCCAGGCTCCCCTGCCTCTCACTCAGGGGCTGGTCTTGTTTCTGGCAGGGCTGAGACAGGAGCCAAGCAAATGACTCAAACATCAAAGTTCTCAAAGCCGGCCGACTCTGGCACAGGTCACTTCAGTCACATGGCACATGGTCTCAGAGCTCCTTCCTGAAGACCCTTGCTAAAGGGCCCCCAGGATTCACTTTCCAGCAGTATCCAAGCCCCCAGACCACGTTCCCAACCCAATGGAGAAATGCCTGGCAAAGCCAGGGTTGGGAGGACCCGGGGCTCTGTGGGAGAGCCTGCCTCCCTCCAGAGCAGGGAGAAGCCCTGGGCTTGCTCAGCAGGGTGGGAAGCCACTTACCCCAGAGCCAGGTGTGGAACTTGCAACTGGGCACCAAGGTGATCCCATACAGGGCTCCGATGTGTAGCAGAGCCATGAGGATGATGTTTCTCCAGACATACTGGAGCTTGGGCCTGGGGCCCTCCTCGTCCTGGTAGCTGGGGTCATAGATGTCATCTTTGAACTCAGGACGAATGTCTTCCTCAGCGGGCAGGGGGTTCTTCCCCAGCTTGTCCTCTCCACCCTGTGGGAGCCTGGAGTGTGGTGTGGTGACAGTAGCAGTTGTGGTTGTGTAGGAGCTGGAGACCTGTATGAGAGGGAAGAGGAGGCAGAGGAGAAAGTGGCAGCCACTTGACTTTCTGATCCTGCAAGGGATAAGGGAGCGGTGCAGGCTCAGACCCTGGTTCATCACTAGGTGTTAGGGTAGGTCGAGTGTGCAAAGTGAGGAAGGTTGAGGTTCCCAGGAACTCTGCAGAGGGAGTGGGGAAAACCTGGTGATGAAGTGCTCTCACTCCTGTTAATACACAAAGGAAACGATGCAAGTATACATAAAGTTGCCTGCAGGCTGTGCTTTTCTTTCAAAGTTTAAGAAAAAAGGTGGGGTGGGGTGGGGGGAACCAGTACTCTGATCAGAACGAACATCTGCAATCCAGTGAGGCCGGGCACCTAGGGAGAGATGACAGAGCCCCAACGGGGCGAACCCACTAGCTCGGGGCGGATGCTGGGAAGCTCACCTCTTGTAACAAGTGGGCGGGCATCTTCTCTGGCCTCTGGGTTGCTGGATCGCGTCAGAGGCCGAGAGTGAGGACTGGAGTTTGGAAGCGCTGGGAAAGACGGAGGGCTTGGGATCCGGAGCGCGCTGGAGTGAGAAGATCTTCGCTCTGCGGTCGGAAGCTTTGTGGGCGCGAGATCGTGTAGGCTTCTGAACTCGATGTGCGAGGGCCTCCTCGCGGCCGTGTATTTAAAGGCAAGAGCTGGCAGTGAGTGCTCGCGTCCTGGATTTCCTCAGACCCCTCTCATCCGCTGCCAAGCAGGAGCAAAGTACGCAGAGCTGGATTAATGTGGAGCCCGCGTGGAGGTGAGGGCGGGACAAGGGAGGGGACAGAAAGGTGGGGCGGGCAGCAACTACAGTAGCCACGCGGGGATGCTGCAGACTCCAACGCGCCGCGTCTGCCCCGGCCGCTGCCCCAGGGGAAATGCTAATGAGGCTTCTGTGAACTCTGACGCGTCATTGGCCAAAGGGAATTTGGTGCCACCTAGGCTGCTATTACCATTGGCTCGGCGCAATCTGCTGTTCCCTCCGCCGCCGGCTCCTCGCTCCCCCTCCCTTCCCTCTCTCTCCCACCATGCGCGGTGCCTCTGCTTGTTTTCAGAGGGGCTCGAAACCTCCGTCTGGCGGACAGGACTTTGTGTTGCAGCAGGAATGTCAGGGAGTGGAGCAAATGCCAGGGAACGGGACACAGGTTGCACAGAAAGTATCTGGGAAGCTGCAGTGGTGCCCACTGCTCTCTTTGCCACCTAACCTTTCCATTTCTTAGATCCTAGAAAGGGGACGCTTGACTGTCACTCCCAGAATTGGAGCCCCAGGCATTGGACCAACCCCTACCTCCAACTCCCCACCCCCACCTCCATCCCTAGAGGATGCAACGATAGGGGTTTTGGAGGGACAATAGCTCCAAGACGGAGAACCCAGAGCTGGCTGCATCTCCCAGGCTGAGTGCATGTGAGTCTGCACGTACTCTGCGGGCAAACTGGGCAGTCCCATCAGCAAGTCATGCTGCAGCTGTGCAGAACACGTTGGATCATCATGTTGTAGGGAGAGGTTGTTGGGGGAGTGTTGGACTCTTCCTGAAGAAGAGCAGTATGCCCAGTCTCATGTCCTCACAGCAGCAGGGTAGGGGGTTGAGGATAGAATGAGAGGAGCCTGCATGTCTTGAGTGATCGCTGCCAGTTCACCGTCATTTTGCTGTATTTTGCTCTGATGACTCTGCGAGGTGGGCATTTTGTAAACCCAAAGGAAAGAGAAGTTGTGGGCAGATGCCATACTTGCTCTTGGCCATAGCAGCCAGGAAGTGGTGAGCTCAGACTCGGCTCAGAAATGCTAAAACAAAGCCCAGCTCTTAATACTGCCCAGGACCTTAGGGTCCTAGGATACCCAGAGCTGTGACCCATGGACCTGTCCCTTTTGCCACATATTCTCTGTGCCCTGAGGAGCCTCATCTACAGAGCTGGAAAGCAGGGATGGCATGCCTTCAGGCAGTCTCGTTCCATGCCCAATGTGCTCCACACTGCCCAGGATCCTGCTGCCGGAAGAGAAGAAGGCCAGGAGTCCTGTGCTGAGGATGGGCTCCAAGGAGGGGAGCCCATGGGCTTGCCCGGAGGAAGACAAGGCAGCTCCCCTTAGGCCCTGTGTGGTCCCTGTGCCATGCAAAGGAGCTGAGTGAGAGCAGGTGCTCTTGGAGGGCACAGTGGGTCTGATTGTGGTTGGGGAGAGTTCTGCATGGGCAAGGAGTCCTTGCTGTGCTTCTGCTCCTCAGGGTTTCTGCAGGGAGGCATGTGCCAGCCCCTTTCCAAACAGCAGGTGTCACTCAGTGGGTCAGTCTGTTTCATCTGCTCCCACAGAGCAAACTGCTGTGGAACAGTTTCCATAACAGCAAATATTCCTCACAGTTCTGGACACTGGCAAGTCCTAGGTCAGACACCGGCAGGTGGGGTGTCTGGTGCAGGCCCCTTTCCTGCTGTGTGGATGGCCATCTTTCACTGTATGTTCCTTTGGGGGAGGGGTCTGAGATATTTTGGGGGATTCTTTTCCAGAGTCAGTGATGTCATTCATGAAAACCCTGCATTCATGACCCAAACACCTGCTAAGCACCAAGCTCAAAATAAATACAAAATTCCATCCCAAGAGGCTGTGCTTCCCTAAAATGTTAGGAGGAGGAGGGGATACACCTTTATTCTACTGCATTCATGAGGGAAGAGAGCTCAAGATTTCTTCTGGGGCCTACCTCCACTGTGGCTCGAGATGGCCATACCGTGGACACCAGCTGTGCTTAGATTGTAACTGCCCAGGCACACTCACCCTGGTGTCTCCCAGTGCTGTGCCCATCGGGAATCATCTGACATGCCAGGATTCCCTGGACACTGCTCTCCTGTGTCCTTAGATCCTGGTGGACACCACTGCTGCTGTGCTTACTTTGGGCTGGTGGCATTGCTTAGGCATCGTCTTTTGCCAGAGAAAGCAAGGGGAGGTATGCCCAGGCCAAGCATGGGACAGAGACATCATCTTCCTCCCTAAAGACTGCTGCTCTGAGAGAGTCCAGAGAAGGTTTGGATGAGGGACAGGACAGCACCCTTTTCTAGGTCTGGAACCAGGCCCCGAAGTGGTGAGTGGTTCATGCATGTGTGTCCCAGGGCTGTGATGTGTCACCCACTGCTTCCCATCTGTCAGGAGCTCACACTGCCCCCTAATTAGGGCTGCATGGTAGGAATAGCATTATGTGAAGAACAGGAGGCTTACTATCAAAAGTATGAGGTCAACAAACAATCAGAAGTTTTAAATAAGTATATGATCAGCATTTGTACACAGTTGAGTTCAAAATGACTCAGCTCTGGTAGCTCAGATCTAACGCTCCCCTCTTAATAGCCTCAAGCCAAGGGTGTAATTGAAAGAAGACACCAAGATCTTAAGAACATGCTTGAAAAGCAGAGGGGGTAATATACTATCCCTCATGAATGTGTTAACTTGGCCTCATTCTCCCTAAATTTTCATCATATTTCATGTTCTGTTGAGCCACCAGATGCACATCGCAGGCCTGATGCAGATGCCTTTGTTTTGATGGAGGGACCCAGCCACCCACAAGTGGAGAGGTCCTGACCCCTTGCTAACTGTGGGAGGAGGTCTGCTTCTGTTTTCGCAGAACCTGAGCCACAGCCTGTGTGGGTGCCTGCTTGTAATGTCAAGGCCTGGACCCCATCCACTGGAGGATGCCCCTCCAGTAAGACAACCTCGTGATCTCATCCTGAAAGATCCATCACCATCGAGGAGACAATGGAGGAGGATGCCAGACCCCTCCCAACACTGGGTGACATGGGGGATCTTAAGGGATGGGTAGATGAAGCACAGCAACTGTCCCTGACCTCATGATGTATTCAAATCTGTAGTAGATCAGGGCCACAGAGAAATCTTCCACATTAAAATGTTTAAAAAAGACCTTAAAAAATCCTCAGCTAGATCCTAACTCCGTGAGAAACAGATGATTTATAAGTGACAGATTCTTAACTGATTTGGACATTAAGAAAAGCTGTAGAGACTTACAGTGGGACCTTTGGGCATCTTTATTACCTCTTAGAGGTGGATACATGGTCTCTTATAGACCAGGAAGGGATCCCTTTGCAGAGCAAGAGGACAAAAGGAGGTTTGTAATCCTAGTCCCAGTGAGACACTTGGAGGCCTCCCAAGAACGTTCGCTGCAGACTTCTTCGCCAAGGGCTGTCAAGTAGGACACCCAGGACCATGTCCCAACTGCCAAAGAGAACAATGGAGGTTTGACTTCCCCTGAAGGCCAAGAACTTTGGGGTCAGCCACTCTCCATTGAGTCTCCCACTCAGGACTGAAGCAGCCCAGAATTCTCTGCAGGCTCCGGTGCCACACCAGGCCAGCACCCAGGAGCCCCGGGTGGTCCTCATGTTAAAGGGAAACATAAAGTTTTCCCTCTGGACACGGGAGAGCAGCTTTCTCTTTCTTTAGCTCTATCTTTGGTATCCTTTCCTCTTAGAATGACCATAAGGATCTCTCAGAGCCCAGCTTAGCTCAGATAAAGACTTCTATTCTCATTTAGAACAGAGACAGAAACTAATATAGAAGATGAGGGCCCGGCGGCGTGGCCTAGTGGCTAAAGTCCTCGCCTTGAACGTGCTGGGATCCCATATGGGTGCTGGTTCTAATCCCGGCAGCTCCACTTCCCATCCAGCTCCCTGCTTGTGACCTGGGAAAGCAGTGAAGGAAAAGCTTTGGGACCCTGCGCCTGTGTGGGAGACCTGGAGGAAGTTCCTGGCTCCTGGCTTCAGTATGACACTCACCGACCATTGCACTCACTTGGGGAGTGAATCATCAAACAGAAGATCTTCCTCTCTATCTCTCCTTCTCCCAGTATATCTGACTTTGTTACAAAATAAAATAAATCTTTAAAAAAAAAGAAGATTAGAAAATTGAGGAAAGTTGGCTGGTCTATTACTACCCAGCCTGTTCTATTGACCAGGCCCTCCAGGGCTATTTGCCAGCCTTCCTTTAGGATTTTTTGCTAGACTCATGGAGATATAGGATAACTATTGCTCTGATGCAGAGTCCATGTCTTCCTCACATGTTAACTTATTGAGGATTTTCTTGTCTACCTAAGACTATTCTGTTCCCTAATTGTCAATATTTAGCTTGTTCTCTTAGAACCATTTAATCACTTGTCTCTGTCATAAGTATATAAACTTCTGCAAAATCTTACTGATGGCTGCCCAGGGCACTGGAGACTAGGGTCTGGTCTGCCCCGCCCCCACATCTCCTAGTCTCCAGCCTGTAATAGGATGAGGGGCCACAGGAGCCAGTTATGTCACCTACCTGGAGGGATTCCAGGTGACCAATGGCACACCTGAATGGACATTCCTTGCATAGTTGGGGCACAGACAGCCCCTTTGCCTTCCCACGTGTCTAGATGGGTATAAAACTCCTCCACATGTATCTCAGACGCCCTTTTCACTTCCCTCTTCCTTCCCCTCTGTGTGAAGGGGGCCCAGGAGTGGATTTTCCAATAAAGCTTCCATCTCAACTCTGAACAACTTGCCGAAATTATTCCACCAGCAGGCGGGCGGTCGGTGGTCATCATCTAACGTTTACTAGAGTACTAATAACTGCTGGATTGTTGTGTAGATCTTTGCAAGCTACTATATGATTCACATAAGTCTTTATAACAAGTGCTTTGTTATTGTACTATGTTCTAGGATACTGTAATTGCTTTAGAGGATCTAACATTGCCTGTTTCCTGACTAGATGCAAAATGACCTTAGCATCTTAATGCTCAAAAGTCAGCAAGAGAAGCCTCCAAGCTCCGATCAATATGTCAGACATGGATAACTTCTACCTT